ATGTAAAATGAATATGAATTTGAATTTGTGTCTGTACCAAGAGTTTTAACCCGGGACTAAGCAACTTTCAGAAAAGAGATTTTTTATGCTTTTATGTTTTGTGTTTCTGTGTATTTATGTTTTGTATGTCTTTAAAAATTAATAAAATTTGTTCAAAAATAATGTTTTATAGATGGCATCTTCCTCCTTCGAGATTAGCGAAGATGCACCCCAATATGAGTCTGAATTGCTGGAAATGCAAAAAAAAAAAAAAAGATGGAACTTTCTTCCATATGTGGTGGTCCTGTACAGAAGCTCAAAAATATTGGCAGAAAATTAGAAATTGGGTGGAGGAAATGACAAGAGAACAAATCAAATTCAAACCAGAGTTCTTTCTATTAGGGATCTTTGACAAAGAAATGCCAAAAAAGTGAAATATATAATAATACATATTTTGACAGCAGCCAGATTGGCTTTTGCACAATGTTGGTAACAGCCTCATGTTCCATCAAAGGAGATGATTATTCAAAAAAAATTAAAGTTGTGCAGAAATGGACAAATTAACCTTGGCATTAAAAAATAAAGACACTTCAATATACTACAACAGGTGGAACTGCTGGTACAAATGGATAGACCAAAGATAGATTTCACCCTAAAAGGCAAAAGAGGATAGGATAGAACCATAGTAGTGATATACATACATACATACATACATACATACATACATACATACATACATACATACATACATACATATAAGGATTAAGTGTGTATATGGCATAAAATTAGGATAAAAAGGAGGTCTCACAAACTGTTGAAGATGAAAATGTTTTTAATTGTTTTCTATCTTTTTCTTTCTATTTTCTTCTTCCTTTCTTCTTTTCTTTTTCTCTTTTACATTTTTGTATGTGTTGTTGGTATGTTTTAATTGTAACAACAATAAAAAAATTTTTTTTTTAAAGTGTGACCAATGCCATTCCCATCCAATATCTAGGGCTGAATGCCAACTGGAAGGGATTCCAATATTCCATTTCATCTAAGATCCCCAGAAACTGCAGATTGACCACTTTCTTAGCAAGGAAAAGGGAAGGCTGAAGGCAGGCAATAAATCATCCATTATATTAAAATTCATCAATGGTCTCTTAAGAAGGGAGTGAATAGTAGTCTCCTCTTTGGGAACATCCTGGTTCTACTTGTTCATGGTCTGTGATGGAGCTGGAACAGAGTGTGTGCATCTGTCACAGTGGTCCTTGATCTCTCAGTGACCTCTGATACTATCAACCATAGTATCCTTCTAAATTGGTAGTGGGGCTTTGGAATTGAGATCAGCATTTGTGGTGGTTCTTGTCTTTTCTTTATGCTCATGTCCAGTTAATGTTGGTGTGGGGGAGATAATTCATTACCTAAGTCCTTGTTATGTGTGATACTACAGGATTTGTCACTGTCATCTCTATTGTTTAACAATCACATGAATCACTGGATTTAATCCAGCACATTGGGATTTTGTATCATCAACCATCAATATTACACACAAGTTTAAACTCCTATTGGCCAAGTAAGGCTGTTGAGGTCCTGTTTAAATGTCTTGAAGTTGAGTGGGTCTGTTTGGGAAGGACTAATGATGAAATGATTTGATTTGATTTATTTGATTTGTCAAGATAATAGGTATAAGTATATACATAGTTATGAATACATGAAATGGGTACATATAAGAAAAATAAAAGAAACAATAGGACAGGGACAGTAGGCACGTTGGTGCGCTTATGCATGCCCCCTACAGACCTCTTAGGAAAGGGGTGAGGTCAATAGTAGACAGTCTAAGGGTAAAGTTTTTGGGGTTTGGGGAAGAAACCACAGAGTCAGGTAGAGTATTCCAGACATTGACCACTCTGTCGCTGAAGTCGTATTTCCTGCAATCAAGTTTGGTGCGGTTAACCTTGAGTTTGTATCTATTGTGTGCTCTTGTGTTGTTATGGTTGAAGCTGAAGTATTCATTGACAGGTAAGTCATTGCAATGTATGATTTTATATACCATACTTAGATCAGACCGAAGACGGCGTAATTCAAGGTTTTCTAGGTCTAGAATTTCAAGTCTGGTGGCATAGGGTATTCTACAACGAGCAGAGAAGTGGAGAACTCTTCTTGTGAAATATTTCTGGACTTTCTCAACAGTGCTAATATCAGATATATAATGTGGGTTCCAGACTGATGAGCTATATTTGAGTATTGGTCTAACAAATGTTTTGTATGCTCTAGTTAGTAGTGTGATATTACCAGAGAGAAAGCTATGTAGGATTAGGTTAACAACTCTTAATGCCTTTTTGGCTATGTAGTTACAGTGGGCTCTAGCACTTAGATCATTAGAGATGAGTATTCCAAGGTCCTTTACAGAGCTTGGATCATCAACAAGATCTTGACTATTCAGCTTGAATTTTATTTTCTGATTTTTTTTGCCAATATGTAAGACAGAGCATTTATTTGTTGAGATTTGAAGTTGCCATTTGTTTGACCATTCTGATACATAGTCAAGATCTTTTTGAAGGGTAGCAGTATTGTCTGTGGTATTGAACAGCTTTACATCATCAGCGAAAAGAATGCAGTTGCTCTTAATATGATCACAGAGGTCATTTATGTAGAGTATGAAGAGAGTTGGTCTAAGAACACTGCCTTGGGGGACACCACTATTGACAGGTACAGAATTTGATAGGACACTCCCAATTTTGACAATTTGTTGTCTGTTTGACAGGAATGCTTCTATCCAGTTATGCAGTTGTCCAGAGATACCATAAGATTTTAGTTTTAGGAGTAGTTTGTCGTGTACCACTGAATCAAAGGCTTTACAGAAGTCTATGTAGATTGCATTTATTGTTTTGCCCTGATCGAGTTGTGTAGTCCATATGTTTTTGCAGTGTAAGAGTTGCAGATTACAGGATAGTTTTTTCCTGAAACCAAATTGTTTATTGGAGAGTAGGTTGTTTGTCTCTAAGTGGAGGATAATGGATTGGTTAATAATTGATTCCATGACTTTACAGGTGATGCAGCATAAGGAGATTGGTCTGTAATTTTCAACTAGACGGGGGTCTCCCTTTTTGAAGATGGGCATGACTGTGGCTTATGACCATAGTTTTGGCAAGGAGCTGGTCCTGAAAGATTTTTCAAAGATTATGCTTAGAGGTTCGGCTATTGCAGTGGATAGCTTTTTAAAGAAGTAAGCACTTATTCCGTCTGGTCCAATAGATAGAGATGGTTTTAGATTGTGTAGTGCTTTTTCAACATTGTCTTCAGTAAAATCGATATGTATTAGATCATTGTAGTTGTCTGTGGTTTGGCTAGGAAATACTGGGCATGATCTATTGCTGTTTACAAATACTGAGCCGAAGAATGTGTTAAAGATGTTGGCTTTAATGGTGTCGTCATTGCAGTCTTTACCATTAGGTCCTATCAGGGGTGGGATGGACCTTGAGTCTTTTAGTTTGTTGTTTACAAAATTGTAAAAAGCACGGGTGGAATTGGTGCATAGAAGATTTTCCTCTTGTTTAATGTGATAATTGGTGCATTCAATCTTTATCTGGTGGCATAAATTTTTGTATCAGCTTTTGAAATTGGCAACGTGACCAGATTTGTTTTTCCACCAGAGTGATCTCTTTTTGGATTGAAGTTTCCTTATTGTTATGGGTAATCTGGTTTTTTTTTGGGGGGGGGGGGGGAGTTGTTGTTGGTACATATAGTTTGATGACTCTTTTAACTTCAAGTATAAATATGTCGTAATGGTCTTCAACAGTATTGCATCCAGCGAATAGAGATTGCCAATCAAGGGATGAGAGATCATTGTCTATAAGTGACTCATGATTGTGTATATTGAAACTCCACCCTGGGTCTGAGGACTTTCCATTCATACTGTTGGATGAAGATATGCAAACAAGGGGTCATTTTGGATTCACAACTCCCGCTCAAAGAGTAGGTGGACCTGTGGCCAAAGGAGAGGGAGAAGTTTTACTTTGCTCCATAGGGTGTTCCAGTTTCACTCCTTTTTTTAAACAGTAGGCCCTTCAGGTTACCACTTATGTTCTTAAGATTACAAGGTTATCCTGTAAACTGCCCTAAAATATTTAGTTAGTCTACTATGGACATAAAATAACACCAGCAATTGCTACTTCTCAATGAGGTCACCCTCAAGACAAAAATATTTTTAAAATGAAGGTGAAAATTATAGGTTTAGCCTGGCTTTAGGATCAAGCACAGACTCATTACTATTTTCTGTCTCACTTTTCCTCTCAAAAATATCTCCTTCAACATTTGATGACAATTATCTCTTTTCAGCCATGTCATTCCATTCATGTGTTGAATTGCTTATACTGTGTTCAGAATTGAGAAGGATATAGCAATAGCATTTAGACTTATATACCACTTTATAGTGCTTTACAGCCCTCTCTAAGAGGTTTACAGAGTCAGCATATTGCCCCAAAAAATCTGGGTCCCCATTTTACCCACCTCAGAAGGATGGAAGGCTGAATCAACCTTGAGCCTGGTGGGATTCGATCTGCCAAATTGCAGTAGGAGTTGCTTGCAGTACTGCACTCTAACCACTGCGCCACCAAGGCTCATATCCTTAGTTCCACAGAGAAATGGAAATTTAAAGGCTGCACTTTGCTTTCCCCTTCCTTTATAATTATCAAAAAGATTATTATTAACATTGCTGCTTCTCAAAACCATTATGAACAATTTATGTTTACTTGGAAAAATGAGCAACAATTCCTGACGGACAGTTTAAATCCTTCATATGTTTTGAAAAACTTGTTCTGAGACTTCATGAGCAGGTACGAACATTATAAGAGTGACATCGCAGAATGTTTTTTTTATTTTAAAGTTTCAAATAAAATGGAAGTTATATGAGGAACAGAGAATATTTTTTACAATCTTTACTATATTTGACAGGGAATAATAGAACCTTTGTCAGCTGGGTCATGATGATATTGATTCTTCTTCTATTACTACCACATATATCTAGTAATGTCCAACCAATGACATGTAGAATTCAAGATCCCATCCCAATTCCTCACAAATATTTTCAAGCAGGTGACTTCATCGTTGGTGGTATTACATCTTTTGTCTTCAAAAGTAGAAATGTAGAAAACTTTGAGGAAGTTCCCAAGCATTTTGATATTGGTGAACCTCAGTAAGATATTATTGTTTTCTTTACCCATCGCATTGCGTCAATCTAGACAAAAATATTTTATAAATTTATCCTATGAGTCATAATTTATTCCAATATTGCACATATAAATTTTAAAATATAAATATAAAACTAAAGTAATATTTTTCAATTTATATGTTTTATTGTGCTTTCTAAAGAAAACCAATAGTGAGATTCTGTGTTCCTTATAGCAGGGAGAAAAATAAAAATAATCATTTAGTCCTTTGTTATTCTGAGATTCTATACAATATTGGGAATTACAGTGTCAGCTTCTAAAACTGCTTCTCAAGCAAAGGAAAATGCATTTAACCATATGAATAATACTATTAAGTCAAAAATGCTTTACCTCAATAATAAAACACCAATAAACAGAGACATCTCTGTGTTGTTATGCTGAAACTTTTTGGAGTAGGAAAAAAGAAATACATGTCCTCATGATGTTTTAATGAATAAAGGTCTTATTCTATTTTTGTAATTTTATTTAAAAAGTTGGTTTTACTAATATATGAAGCTCTTATAATTAAAATAATGAAGGCATTAATGCTAGGTTTTGGTACTATTCTTAAGATAGAAAAACCTTAAGTCTTGTTTAAGACTAAACTTTGACATATTTTAGGATTTTCAAATTGCTTATTAAATTAATAAAAAGACACAACTTTCATATAATTAACAAGCACTTTTAAGAAATGCTAGCAATGACTTCACTGAAATTTGACCAGTTACTAATAAATCAATTAACATAATTCTTATGGAGCTCAATTTCACTGCCATTTTCAGATACAAAATTTCATTTGATGCAGAATCTAATTCCCATTGCAGAGTTCTGATCAAGTATTATCAGCATATTTTGAGCATGATATTTGCTGTGCAGAAGATCAATGAAGACCTCCAGCTCTTACCTAACATCACCTTGGGCTTTAGAATATATGATACTTATGGTGGAGAGAACACATATCATGCCACAATGGAACTTCTCTCCAATCAGAACCTATTCATTCCCAACTACAAATGTGGCCTTCTGAACGACCTTGTATCAGTTGTTGGGACTCTTGATCCTGCAATTTCTTTTGATATGGCAGATATTTTAAGCATTTATAAGGTCCCACAGGTAAGACTTTCATTATATGAATATATTTAAGAAATTGTATTTATTGAAGCAGAAAGCAATGTGGATTCATTTTCCAAATTTGATGTTAGGTAAGTTTCAAAAATGAACCATTAATAAATATCCTATTGAGCAGAAGCTTTGAATTTCTGTGGTCCTCCCAAGTTAAGTTAAGAGAATGAAGTTAAGAAAGAGAATGAAGTTAATTAAGTTAAGTAGAAAGAGGATGAAAAATCATAATCATACAACTCTGCAGTTGGAATACAAAACAATCATATCTCACAAATATTTCATGCACATAAATAGTGTGAGAGCATATTCTGAGACATTTTAGAATACTATACTTGCAGAAGATACATATGGTTTTTGTCAATCATTTTCCTGTTGTTGTTTTTTCTACAGTTTCTATACGGCCCCCCTCCAAGCATGCATGGTAAAACTGAAATTCCCTTTTATTACCACATGGTTCCAGATGAAGAATTCCATTTCAGGGGGATTCTTCAGCTACTTCTGCATTTTAAGTGGACCTGGGTTGGGATACTTGTGAAAGGATATGGTGGAGCAAAATTCGAACAACTGATTTTTTCATGGTTATCTCTTCATGGTATATGTATTGCCTTCTTAGAGCAACTCCGAACAATTTATATCAATAATGTGGATGATGGACTGAAATGGCTTGTGGAGACATTTCATCGTTTTACTAACAGCAAAGCTAATGTTGTAATAATCAATGATAAATATGTTTTACATTTGAGATGGTTGTTATATCTACCTGAAATGGAAACGGTTTCTATAGAGCCAAAAAGCAAGGTGTGGATCATTGCTTCCCAAATGATTCTTGCATCATTCTTTTATCAGAAGAGCTGGGACATACAAGTTCTCCATGGTGCACTGTCCTTTGCAGCTTATTCAAATGAAATTGAAGGATTCCAGCATTTTCTTCAGACAAGAAACCATTTCTCATTCTTTCCCCAAGATGGTTTCCTTAAAGATGTATGGGAGCATGCATTTGGCTGTGAATTTCTAGACCAATCTGCAAATGTGAAAACTGAGGGTATCTGCACTGGGAAGGAGAAACTGGAGAGCCTTCCTGGTTCTTTTTTTGAAATGAAGATGACCAGTCCCAGTTACTGTATATATAATGCAGTGTATGCTGCAGCACATGCTTTACATGCCATACAGGTGACTCAACAACCATATAAGAGAAAGCTGAGTAGCAGGAAACCTAGTCTTCAGGATGTACAGCCATGTCAGGTAATCTTCTCAGTAGCAAATATGTTGGAAGTGAGATGTGAATTGCAAATCAGAAGGGTCAGCAAATTGCAAATAGAAAGTAAGGAATTTCTTGTGTATTTTCTCTTTATTCCTTTTTCTTATGGGATCACTAATCTTGAAGGTACTCTCTTCCTGCTTTGGTCTTGCAAACTAACTTGTTCTCTAACTCCTTTCTGCTAGGCTGTGGCTACCTGAAGTTTAGCTTTTGCCTACGCTGCCCCTCCCTGTGATGGGCAAAGTTAGCAAAGAAAGCCTCACTGGTAGTTATGGATAAACATTTACAATGTCCTTAGTACAAGTTAAATAGAAGAGATTACTAGATATTATTATGTAGGAAAAGTCCCAAGACTTCCTTTTGATTTTCTTATAGAGGCCAAGTATCCAGTGCTGCTCAGTCACCTGTGACATATCTATCCACTCCACTCCACTCTTTTTCTTTGGTTGCTAATAATAGCCTGAAACTCCATCTTCCTCCCCACTAAATTAGACATAATTATAGACATCCCAGAAATGGGGAGCTACCACCTCTACAAAAACTCTCAGCCTCTGGTTTGAAAGGCAACTGCTTGTGATCCAAATGACCAGCATAAAGTCACCCTTCTAACCTGGAAATTTGGTTTGCATTTTCAAGAGACCTCTGTTTAGCTCATTTACCAAGACAACACATTAATCCAGGAAACATGAATTGCAAATGAACTTCTACTTTATTAATTCCATTTATTTCCCATTGGGGCACTGAAGAGTGAAAAATAGCCTGAGGTCTTAGTCTCCACTATTTTACATGCCACAATAATACCCCCATTCAAATCATATGCCATAACTATGTTAATCAATCCAGTCACCATTTGCTGTTGGTAATAAATGTTTCTATGTCCCCAATGAGACAGAAACCTCAGATCAGATGATTGTGGAATGAACTTGAAACTGTTGTCCTTATACTATTCCAGTATATTTGTACTTCTGTGAGGGAACTTCAATGCTACATTGGACTACAGTAACCACACCCTCTATACACAACACAGATGTCTCCTTCCCAATACTGAAGTTGAAAAAATCCACCTCACCTATTGTTCAAAAGATCAGCAATCATGCTTTGAAGGCTTTTTCTGGCTGAAATAGTCATTTGGCTAAACCTACATATATTAAAGGGTGTCCTTGCAAGTGACCATTCATCTGAATTCAACTGTATTTCTGGCTCCAGAATAACAGCTATGACTATAAAATAGCCTCTAGGATCCTATTCTCTTATGCCAAGTCTCTAGAATTTATGCTTAGGACAGCAATGACTTCCCAATCGAGCTCTAGTTTAATGTTCCATTCCAAATAAACACACCAAGGAACATTACCAATCAGTTTGCTCTGACATCTGCTGTGTCTCCTGATTCACTCTGGGAGAATTATAACTTTCTTACTCAAGAGTTCCACCAGCATGTAACTATAATAACAGTGCATACTTGAGGCAGTAACAGTACAACTACCAGTTTTGATTTGACAGGCCCTTTCGTAATCTGTAAACTGTTTTGAGCTGTCATGTAATCCTATATATTAACTATGATAATTCTTTCTGCTTTTTTCTTTCCACAAAAATATTGAATTATTTCTCAATTCAGCTCCACTTCTTTTTGAAAAGAATTGCATTTAACAATAACATTGGAAATAAAATTTCTTTCCATGAGAATGGAGAATTTGTTACTGGACTGGATATCGAGAACTGGGTCACGTTCCCCAATCAATCAATTCATCGAGTGAAAGTTGGGAAGCTGGATCCTTGGGCTGCTGAAGACCAAATGTTCACCATTCATGAGGAAGACATCACTTGGCCCAGCACTTTCCATCAAGTATGGTTTTGAAAATAGATGGTTTTGTTTGAATGACTAGATCAGGAGTGTCAAACTCACATCATCACAGCAGTGTCACATGACATATTGGGACTTTTTGCTGCTTCACTAAACCAGCATGTGACACATCCGGCCTGTGGGCTGGGAGTTTGACACCCCTGGACTATACGTAATTCTCACTTACAAACCATGATTGGCAACTTTATTATGAAAAGAGGCAGTCATAACGTGAAACATCTCTTGACTGCACTGACTTGCAGCATCAGATCCAGCTGCCATCATTAGCAAATCACTCTTGGGCCTTAACCAGGATGTTCCATGACTACAACATGAGACTTCCTGCTAGATTTCCTATTGACTTTGCTTGTCAGAAGCCAACTTGAAGTCACAAGAGTTGACCACATGACAGTGCAGACATTGTAACAGCCACAAACTGTGAAAATAGTAATAGCCATAAATCTATTTTTTCAGCATTGCAACTTTAAACAGGGACTGAAGAAGTGGTCAGTAAGTGAGAATTATCTGAATCTAAATGATACCTCTGTATCTTTTAACATAGAAAGGGGAAAAAGACATTATTTCATTTGAAATGGATCTGTATAGAACTGGGAAAAAGTATAAGTGGTATAAGCACAGGTATGTGATACCTTGCTCAATAGTAGTAACTGTGAAATGGTTCTTGGAGTCTTAGTGGACAACCATTTAAATATGAGCCAGCAGTTTGCTGCAGCTGCCAAAAAGCCCACACAGTTCTAGGCTGCATAAACAGAGGGATAGAATCAAGATCACATGAAGTATTAATACTACCTTGCTAAAGCCACACTTGGAATGCTGCATTTAGTTTTGGTTGCCACAACTTAAAAAAAGATGTTGAGACTCTAGAAAGAGTGCAGAGAACAGCAACAAAGATGATTAGGGGACTGAAGGCTAAAACATATGAAGAACGGTTGCAGGAACTGGGTATGTCTAGTCTAATGAAAAGAAGAACTAGGGGAGACATTATAGCATTGTTCCAATATCTCAGGGGCTGCCACAAAGAAGAGGGAGTCTAGCTATTCTCCAAAGCACCTGAGGGCAGGACAAGAAGCAATGGGTGGAAACTAATCAAGGAGAGAAGCAACTTAAAACTAGGTAGAATCTTCCTGACAGTTAGAAAAATTAATCAGTGAAACAACTTGCCTCCAGAAGTTGTGAATGCTCAACATTTGAAGTTTTAAAAAAGATGTTGGATAACATTTGTCTGAATGTAGAGTTTCCTGCCTAGGCAGGGGGTTGGACTAGAAGACCTCCAAGGTCCCTTCCAAATCTGTTATTCTATTCTATTCAATATAAGAATTATACATTTCTTAAAATCAGTAGTATCTAATCCATTATACAAATTATTATTAAGTTTCCATGCATATGTTGCAGTAAAATTGAAAAGTCATTGGAGATTTAAAGTATTTATTCATATATTATTCTAATATATTCATTATTCATACATTATTTCCCCAAAATAAAAGTAAATACATCCTCTTTGAGTTCTATGGAGGGGGGGTGGAGCTGGCATCTCAGCGGTACAGCGTGCAATCTTGAAGCTCCAAGATCGCCGCTTATATCTCCATTGCAGGACGGTCCCACCGGACCTAAACTGTCCTGTAGAGATGGTGACTGAGGAGGGCACGTCCTGTCAATCCCAGGGACATCGCAAAGTCCCTGGTTGATCCAGGAAAAGCCCTTTTGCCAGTGGCAGAGAGGCAGCCATTCAAGCTGCTGAAGTTGGGACAGCTCTGGAATGGAAGAGATTGAAGGAAAGTGTGTCAGTTTGGTGAGATGAACTTTTACTTATTATTGCTTGAAGAGAACATCCTGAAAGATTTAAAGTGAAATTAAAAGTGAAGAGGAAAGAGT